CCAGTAGAAATTCCTGAGTGCAGGGATAAGAGTAACCCCTGACCGTCTCCAGGTGTGACTTAAAAAGCAAAAACATAAATAAATAAAAAATAAATTTCTCAGAACAAAGGAAGTGATTTGGATGAAATCAGAATTCCATGGAAATGAGAAATAACAGTAAGGGAGTCTAACTACAACAATCAAATTTAAAACTGTGTCTGTCCACAAGTGACCACACTTGCTATTTAAATGGACCCAGCTTCACAGCTCCTGGTGTGTCTTCTGAATTTCACAGTGCTTACAGACTAGTAAAAACACATAAAATATGATAGGGAAATTCACGTAGAAGCCCACTAAGCTCAACGAGCAAAAACAACGCAGAAGAATCAATCAGCAATAATCAACTCAGTAAATCTTCAAACAATAACTTTGTGATAACATTGTGAGATATAGCAATCAATAATCACAAACGAACTCATTTTTCCAGTACCTGCTATCTCTGTTCACTATTTTGTTGAGGCACAATATGAAACGAATTTGTTATGTGCCTGATAAGGAAGCAGACTTTGGGAATGGGAAGGAAATTAGGGACATTGTTGAAGGGAAGCTCACACTGGCGGTGGTATTGATTGTGGAACATTTTATGTCTAAAGTAACTGTATTATGATCAACTTTGTAAATCATGGAGTTACAATAAAAACGGAGGTGTAAGAACCCCAAAGGAGAGAGAGAGAGAACAAAAGGGAATGACCTGTCACAAAGGCACGGTGTGATGGGGGGATCGGGGTGGGAGGGATGCTGGGACCCGTGGTTGTGGAGGATGGGCGCTGATGGAGCGATGGGTACTTGATCATTGTATAACTGAAACCCAAGCACAAAAATTTGTAAGCCTATAACTGTACCTCGTGGTACTTCACTAATAAAAAATAATGTAGGTGTACCAAACACTACACAGCATGGTAGGGTGTTTGCCTAGTACACAGTCAGGCCAAGTTTAGTTTCCAGCACCACTCCTGAGTGCCTTCCACGAGTGATCCCAGAACACAGAGGCAGAAGTAGGCTCTTAGCAGCACTGAGTGGACTTCCAAAAAAGTATTCCTTTCAAGCGGGCAAGATGGAGGGTGGGAGGTACATTGGGTCACTGTTAGAGGGAAATTGACGTTTGTGATGGGATTGGTGTTGCAAAAATTTATTCCCAAAACAATTTTGCAAACCAAAGTGCCTTGATAAAGTTTATTTTAAAATTTTAATTCATGCCATTGTGGAGAATGGAGAAGCTGGAATCCAAAGTGGAGAGCCACAATGCGAAGGAATTGACTTTTAAAATATGAATATAATATATTGACAACAATTTTTCAAAAGTGGAAGTCCAAACTTTCCAATTTTAAAGAATCACCAGAAATTTGATGACAGAAGGTTGTGCAGTCTCAACAATTTAGTAAACTAGGATGAGTATCAAGAAAAACTGGCTGATGGTAAGGGTTGTTGGGGTTCCCCTATTGTATTTCCCTCCACGAGGACTTATTGTTAAGAGCTATTCTGAACTAATTTGATATATGTAAGATAGTCCTTATCATTTACTATAATGATATGTTTTCTGGTCATATTCTACAAGTTCTTTTAATTTTGTAGCTCCCTTAATATATCGAGGATATATATATATATATATATATATATATATATATATATATTCGATAGCCTGCCAGTTTGTCCAAAGTAGGAATGAGATGATAAGATAATAAGATGCTTCCGGGAGCTGAGTGTGATAATCTCTGGATCCTGGCCTTTGTTGTGATTACACGGCAGTTGGTGGGTGTAACTGTCTAGCAGGTGTAACCTGCCCACACGGCAGAGTCTGGCAAACTCCCCGTGGTATACCCAATATGCCAAATACCAGTAACAATGATCGGTCTCATTCTCCTAACCCTGAAAGAGCCTTGATTATGGCATTTAAAAAAAAAATCTCAGGGCTAGGACGAAGGAGACGTTACTGGGGCCTGCTCGAGGCAATTGACGAACAACAGGATGGTCGTGATCGTGATATATATATTAATATATAGCTCCCTCTATATAAAAATATAGAGATATTTTATGCATATATATATAAATTTTTCTTCCTTCCTTATTTTAATGTTATTTTTGAGGGATAGTAATTGTACCCTCCTTAGTATGTTATCTTCCTGAAATCACTCCTTTTTAACTCAATTTTTATTGATCGTCGATTTGCTCGAGCGGGCCCAGTAACGTCTCCATTGGAGACTTTGTTGTTACTGTGTCTGGCATATCCAATACTCTCGGTAGCTTGCCGGGCTCTCCGAGAGGGGCGGAGGAATCGAACTCGGGTCGGCCATGTTGGCCGTTTGTAAGGCGAACGCCCTACCCACTGTGCTATATAAAAATTTTAATAAAAATTTATGAAGACATACTTGACCATATTAGGAAATGTTAGCCAAAGAGCACATTTTTCAGTTATTTATTTTGTACTAGTAAAATGTAGTTATGATACAAAATTATATAAATGTACTAAAACATAATAATATACTTGAAGAGTCGTATTATGTGCATCTATAAATAAAGTGGGTACAAAATTAACATATTTAATTTGAATGGTGATTGGAGAAGGCAAGACATGAGGACAGAAACATATTATTATGTGTTGTGTCTTCAAGTTGATTAAGTAGATACCCTAATATAGAGGTATTAAAAACTGAAGGAGAGTCTGAACATGTTATATTGAAAGACGTATTCAACAGCACTTACCAGTATATATTATGTTAAATGCATGAAAGAATGAGACCAAAACGTTAATAATTTAAGGTTTTGATACAATTACTACACAGTCGGAACTCATATTAAGTAATGGCGCATTCTTTAAAGAAAAAAGGTGAGTTCACATTACTTTGATTTTGATATGTTTCGTGATAATTTGAAAATTATGCCCCAGATCTTACCAAAAATTCATTTTGGAGATTTATGGCAAGGGAAGTACAGATAAATATTGAAAATAATGCATACTTAACTAAAAATTACTAAGAAAAGCAATTGAATCTTTCTGGGAGAGAATATGGAAAAGGCAAAGTAACTGTTAACAGAACAATGGAGAAAAAACTTTATATACGAGGCACAATCACGATCACACGATCACGATCATCCTGCTGTTCCTCGATTGCCTTGAGCAGGCACCAGTAATATCTCCTTTGCCCTAGCCCTGAGATTTTAAAATCTTTCAGGTTTAGGAGAATGAGACCCATCATTGTTACTGGTATTTGGCATATTGGGTATACCAAGGGGAGTTTGCCAGACTCTGCCATATGGGCAGTACATCCGGTAGCCTGCCAGATTGTCCAAAGTTAGAATGAGATAATAAGACGTGCAAGGCTTGCATGTGGGGACAGTGGCAGCTTGCTGGGCGCCCAAGTTTCAGTGCTGCGTCTCACCGCTGTCCCTGCCCCACACTGGCTCTGGGAGTTGAGCCAGCCGGTGGACAAGTCCCCATCAGAAGTGGAGGACGCCCGGCAAATACCAATGAACCCAGAGGCCCGGGTCCCACCCGAGCTCCTGCCAAACACCAGGACCTGAGGGTTCTGCACCCTAGGAACTGGCCGGCACCAGCCATGACTCTCCACTCGCCTCCACCGCCAGACTCACTGGGCCCGGCTCCGCTGGTCACCTACACTCGATGAACCAGTGTCGGATCTGATCCTGCAGGTTCTCCTTGATGTCGGGCCCCTCCACAAGCTTCAGGTCGTCCTTGATGGACACCAGCGCGTTCTGGTAGTCGGCCTCATGCCTGCCCTGTGTCTTGTCTCGCTGTGAGCGCACCTTCTCAACCTGCTCCACCTTCGGGCTGACCTTGTTGAACAGGGGCGGCGGCATTATCCCCAGGAATATCATCTCTTCTTCCCGCTCTTGAATAGTCTTCTTGCTTTGATTGAAACCTCACCAAATCGTCTGGATGAGGAGCACCGCGGAACCCCAGGTCCCTGGTCTTCTCGCCCAGGAGCTTGGCCTGTCTGGCGCGGTACTCCTGGAGGAAGATCTGCTTCATGAACATGGCCCGCAGCCGGCCCTGCCGCATCCTCTCTGCCAACTGGAACAGTTTCATGGCCTTCTCCAGGCGTATGGTCTTGACAGACAGGGCCAGGTCAGGGGTCATCAGCCCAGACTCGGCCAGGATCTGGGTCAGGATCTTCTCTCTCGCCTTGATGACCTCCATCTTTTCCTTCATGAAATACTTGGGGATGGGAATGTCTAATTTTTGGGGCTCCAACTTGAGGTCCTGCAAGATGTCGTCGAAATAATAGAACTCGCTGAGCTCCATCTCCACCATCTCGTTCTTCAGGTCCAGGATGAGGCCCATGACCCCATCCAGCATCTTCTGGATGAGCAGGCACTTCTGGGGGTGCACAATCTGGTCGTACACATTCTCCAGATTCTGCAAGATCTGCACTTACTTGATGTAGTAGGTAGCCAGCATTTGGAAGATGAAGACCTGGTTGGTGTGCGGGTCGATCACCTCTGACTCATTGTCCAGCAGCGAGCTGAGGGCCTCCTGTGTCTGATGTACATCTTATCGTACATCGCATTGGACATGGGTAGTCACTCTGGCGTCCATGCCGCGGTGGGCCCGCTTGGACTCTCCCTCCCTCGCCAATGCCAGGCGCTTCCAGGATGTGGCGCTGGATGTGGGCAGGGTTGTCGCCTACCAACAGGACGCCGCGCAGAGCGAGACATTAAAAGGAAAATGAGAAGCATTGTTAAATAAGTGATTACATCACAAACAGAGAGAACAGTAGCAGAGATGCTTTATTAAAAGATAAATTGGGACTTAAAGGATAGGAAATTAAGGAAGAAAGTCTTAGGGTGTTCCAAGAGGGAAGAGAGCAAAGTGGTCAAAATAAAATGGAGAGTCATGTGTAAATTATGTATGAAATTTTAAAGATGCTGAAAAATCTACCACAGTCTTGGATTTGATATATGTTTAACATTGTTTAACTGGCTATTCCTGTTATCATTCCTAGGTGAAGTGCTCACTTATCAATGGAATATTCCAGAGAGATCTGGTCCTGGAGCAAATGATTCTGCTTGTGTTACTTGGATCTATTATTCTGCGGTGGATCCCATCAAGGTAAATAAAATATTAACTGGAGGTTGGTATCAGAATTGGGCAGACTGGCAAAAAGAAGCAATACAAGTGCAATAACAATTCCAACCTTTGTATACTAAATTCCAAATCTCGGGAATGATATATCCTCAAATACTGAAGTAGTACTAGGGAAGATGAGGAAAACAAACATATCACTTGTTTGTTCTAAGGATTTTCTCCCTTGTTTCTTCATGGATCCAATAAAACTATAATGTCCTTATTTATAATCCCATACTGGTGGACTAGAAGTGTCATAAGGATATTTATGTAGAATGGTGGAGGGTTAAAATAACTCTGTATTCCAATAGTGTAAAAAAGAAAGCACTATTGTAAGCATGTCTCTTAAGCTATAAAAAATCAATTGTAAAATGATTTTCCTATAATTATTCAACAAAACACAGCTAAAACAATTCTTGAACTCTGACAACAAAGTGGTGATTACCAGAAGAACAGGGGTGGGAGAAAAGGGAGAGGAAAATTTGATGCTAGAACTTTGACTGCTTAGTGGATACATTTGTTTTTACTTATTTACGAAGTCTATTTTTATACCTTATATGTATTTTATTTATTGAGGCCTTTTGGGCCACACCCAATGGTGCTCAGGGCATATTCTTGGCTCTGTGCTAAGGAATTGTTCAAGGACATTCAAGCCAGGGTCATAGCCAACAAGCATTTATTTCCTGGGCTATATTTCTGGTCCACAGTATCTTTTTTAAATATCCCCCCCAATTTTTATTGAGGTACTAAGATTTTTAATTTGGTAAATGATAGAACTTCATGCATACAACATTTCAACAACATATTCACCTTCAGAGTGTCAGAGTTTCTCTGATGTCCTTATGACCCCTTCCACCAACCAGCATGCTTGGTATACTTAGTTTTCTAGGAAAATTCTCAAGTAATTTTGTGATTACCCATTTATTTACATTTTTGTTTCTTTCTCTCTTTGTGCCACACCTTGTGCTTCTCAGGCATATTTGGGGCTCTGTATTCAGGGACCATTACTGGTCACCTCTGTCGACCACATAGAGTGAAAGAGATAGAACCCAGTTTGGCTGCTTGAAATGCAAATTCCTTACCCACTATCCTATCACTCCAGCCCTTTACTGTGTTTTTTTTTATAGACCACATATGAATTAAACCATTTAAAATTTCTTTCTTTTTTATTGCTTTTTCGGTCACACCCAGTAGTGCTCAGGAGTTAGTCCTGCACTGCACTCACGAATTACTCCTGGTGGTGCTTGGGAGATTATATGGGATGCTGGGAATCAAACCCAGGTCAGCTTCATGCAAAGAAAGTGTCCTACCCAGTTTACTATCGCCCCAGTCCCCATTTAAAAATTTATTCCTCTCCTTTGACTTACTTCACTCACTCTAATGCTCTTAGTTATATCCATGTAGCAATGAATTTATTTCATCTTTTATGCCAAGCAAAATTCAATTGTATTGTATAAATAAGATACTTTATCTACTTTTCTTTTGGGGGACACTTGGATTATTACAATAAACATAGTACTACAAGATTAGACAGGTATCTTTTCAAAATAATATTTGGGGGCCCTTAGGCAATATGTCAGAAAGTGGAATGTCTGGTTAAAAGGGAAGCTCAATTCTATATACTTTGAGAATTCTTCACACTGTTTTCAACAGATGTTGAAACAATAGACATTCCCTGCAACAGTGGAAGAATGTTTCCTTTCTTCCCCTAACCATGCCATAACTTGTTGTTTCTGTTCTTTCCATGTCTGCCAATCCCACTACTGTGAAATGATACCTCATTTTTGTTTTGATTTGAATTTTCCTAAAGATAAGTGATGAAGAGTTATCTTTCGATATACCTATTAGCCATCTGGAAATTTTTCTTTGAGAAAATGTCTGCTTTTCATTTCTTCCCATTTTTCCATATTTCTGTCAGGTTGTTCTGTTTTCCTTAAGTTTTGCAAGTATTTTCAAAATTTTGATATTAACTCTTCATCAGATGAATGTGAGAAAATAATTATCCCCATCTATAGGATATATTTTTATTCTAATCATCATATATTTTGCATTACAGAAGATTCTTAATTTTATGAAATCCCATTTGTTTACATTTTGTTCTGTTTGCTTAGCCAATGGAATTAGGTTATTGATGATGCCTCTAGAGTTAATGTCATGAAACATTATGCCTGTCTTATATCAGCATAATGAATGAATTTGTGTGTAATATTGAATTTTAGTGAGATTTGAGATTGAATTTTGCGTATGTTGTGAGTTAGATATAAAGGTTAATTATTTTCTTTGCATATCATTAACCAATTTTCTGAGCATCATTTGTTGAACAGGTTTTCTTTTTTTACTTCATACAATTACATAAATCCAAAGATTATCTTACCATCTTACCATGTTTGTCATTATCTTTCAATTATATTCCTTTGGTCTGAAAATCTGTCTATTGTCTCTGCTCCCTATTATTGTTACTAAAGCGTTTGGTAGTATAATTTAAAACCAGGGAGAAAAGCCTCCTATTTTTGCTAGGCTTTCTTTGGCTGTTAAAGGGTGTTAATAATCCAGGTAAATTTTAAGAGCATGGTCAATGTTCCAAAATTTATACAGAATTTGTAGTGGACATGCATAGTGTTTGGAAAGGGAAGTAATATTATTTTTGTCCCCTACTTAAGCTTTATTATTTTTCATTTTATTTTTTATTGAGCCACCATGAGATATAGAATTATAAAGCTGAATATGACCAGGTTTCAGATATACAGTGTTCCAACAACCCTTCATCCACCAGTGTACATTTCCTACCACCAATGTCCCCAGTTTCCCTCCCACTACCCTTCCCCAGCTTGTTTCTTATTTCTTTTACTTCTATCTCTTTGGGTATTATGGTTTGCAATACAGGTACTGAGAGGTTATTATGGTTGTTCCTTTACCTGTTTTCAGCACGTAGTTCTTACCCAGAGTGATTATTTCCAACTATCTTTGTCATAGTGATCCTTTTTCTACCCCAAAAGCCTTTTCACTCAGAATTCTATGTAGACTCCCAATCATGGACAATAATAATCCTCTTGTCCCTTGTTTCTACTGTCCTTGGATATTGGTCTCATATTATGTTTTTTTCAATATCCTACAAATGTGTCCAATCATTCTATGTCTATGTCTATCCTTCTGACTCAATTAACTCAGCATGATATTCTCCATGTACATCCATTTATAAGTAAATTTCATAACTTAACTTTATATTACAGCATCATAGTAAACTATTGTGTTGATGTACCATAGTTTCTTCAACCTGTCATGTGTTCTTGGGTATTTCGGTTGTTTTCAGAATTTTAACTTGGAAAATACTTCAAGGACTATGTGTCCAAACCCTAATGTTTTCTATTTAGTTTATTTGAAACTTGCTACATACTTTATAAAAATCTTTCACTTCTTTTGTTAAACTGATAAACTTATCTCCTGGTACTTGATTTAAAGAGAGGTGGTTGAGAAAGGGATTGTGTTTTTTTATATCCCTCTCTGATCCATTGTTTGCAAATAGAAATGCTATGTATTACTCTTTGTTGATTTTGTATCATATCACTTTACTGTGCATATCTCTGAGATATGGATTTTTTTGTTTTTTTATATTTTAGGTATTTTTATTAGTCCTTACTTTTTAGAATTTTTATTAGTGAAACATCATGAGGTACAGTTGTAGACTTATAAATTTTTGTGCTTGGGGTTCAGTTATACAATGATCGAGTACCCATCCCTCCACCAGTGCCCATTCTCCACCACCACTAATCCCAGTATCCCTCCCACACCCTATCACCCCATCCCACCCTTAAAGTATAGTGTTATGTCATCTACAAATAGTGACAATTCAACTTCATTTTTTATCTGTGTTCTCTTCTATCTTTTCTTACTATTTATTTATTGCCCAAATGCATCACTGTCACTATATCACTTGATTTCCTTGAGCAGGCACTAATAACGTCTCCATTCGTCCTAGCCCTGAGATTTTAGCAAGTGCCAGATTGGAGGCTCTTTCAGGGTCATGGGAATGAGACCCATTATTGTTACTGGGTTTTGGCATATCAAATACGCCATGGGGAGCTTGCTAGACTCTTCCATGCGGACAGGATACTCTCTGTAGCTTTCTGGGGTCTTCGAGAGCGAGAACTAGACAATAAGAGGTCACATGACAGCAGTTGGGCAGCTTCTGGGGGCTTGGTTTTATAGTCTCTGTATCTTAGCCGTTGATGGGATTACACAGCGCTGGAGGGCAGTTGCTGGGTGTAACTGCCTAGCTACTGGAAGATCGGGAATCTGGGTGAAGGATACCCAGTCCCAATCCAAGAAGGATTGAAGAGCTCAGTCCCGGGTCCTGCACACCTGGATTCCTCTGCTGGTTGCTTCAGGCGTGAGGCTCCTCTGAGCGTGTGGAGACTGGTATTAAGCTTGGCTTGTGGCTGGGTTCTGGAGGTCTTAGCCCAATTACATATGTAAGTAAAATACTCTATCAAATAATCCTGATGAGAATGATAAACCTGCCTTGTACGTGATATTACAAGATAGACTTTCGATCATTCAACATTAGTACAATGTAAGTGAATTTCTGGTAAACAGCTTTAAATATATTAGCAAATTTACTTATATACTCATTTTATTGAGATTTTTTATCATTAATGAATTTCAGATCTTTTTTTCTTTTTTCTTTTTTTAAATTTTTATTAGTGACAAAGAGGTACAGTTGTAGACTTAAAATTTTTGTACTTGCCTTTCAATTATACAATAATCAAGTACCCATCCCTCCACAATTGCCCATTTTCTACCACCACGGATCCCAGTATCCCTCCCACCCCCGACACCCCCCATTCCACCCTGCCTCTCTGCCAGGGCATTCCCTTTTGTTCTCTCTATACTTTCGAGTAAGGATGGTGTGTGAAAGAGGCATTGCGTGGCAATCATGTTCGGTCTATAGTCTACTTTCAGCATGCTTCTCCCATCCTGGGATGATC